GTGTCTATTTCCCGTCCTGTGGAATGAGAGAGAAATTACCTCAAAAAGTCAACACTATCAGAGAATGAATAACAGTACACAGTGTATGGTTGGATTAATGCATTATTTGATCAAAAGATACGATTTCTCTTTCATTATTACTTAATTGTAATGCAGCCCCAAACCTACGGGCCTTAATCTTCAGGGAGCTTCAGAAGTAATTTACCGAGCACTTTTCCTGCTGAAGTTACTGTGGCCTTCTTTTGTGGTGAGCAGATGATTAAATAGAAACACTATCTCTCCCATCTAAATCCATGAAGGACGCACCTTAATGCTCTTTTGAGAGAGTCTGGAGGCTGACTTGCTGGCGAGCACAGCATTTCCCATATGGGACTGGCTTAATCGTTACTCTCGCATCCACACAGAGAGAAATGATCACCTAAATCCTACAAATATACTGCGGCATATTTAATAGCAAAGCCAATGGGCAAACACACAGGTATGCTTACCTAGACTTCTTACTGTTTCAAATCACTTCTCTCAATTGAAATAGTCCAGCCGATTTAGGTGGGGTTTAAGTTGGAGGTAAATTGAAGGTAAGTTAATATCAACCTAGGGTCTCCCTAGTACTTTGCATACCAACAAGAAAGAGCAGCTGCTGCTCATTCTGAGGAAGTGAGGCTTTTTTTGGGGGGGGCTGTGGTTTTGTTCCCCTTCTCCCCCCATTAGGATAAAGCCCAGGAGATGCTATTGTCTCCTAGTTCCAGGAATTTCTTTTTTTAATCCTCATGTAAGAATATACTTTTATTGATTTGAGAGAGAGAGAGAGAGAAAGAGAGAGAGAGAGAGAGAGAGAGAGAGACATTGATCGATTGCCTCCTGTACTCTCCCTGACCCGGGATCAAAGCCGAAACCTAGGTATGTGCCCTGAACAGGAACTGAACACCCCCCACTTTTGGTGCATGGGACGGTGCTCCAACTACCTGGCCAGGGCTCCAGATTCAGGAATTCTGTTGCTTTCAGAAAAGGAAGTGACACGTCTGCAGACTCTCCCTGCAGGTGCAACTGTGTTGATCCAATTCTCTTTGCTGGGGATTGCGTTTTTACAAAGGGTGTCACTTCTACCCATGGAGGCTGCATATAGCAATGGTTAGATGAGATAATGATAATGCGAAGGGCCCAGGACACTGGGTGGCCTCAGTAAATGTCTAGACAGAGACAGAACGTTTGTAACTGGTCAGTGTGCTGACCTCGATCGCACTTTATGCACATCCCCTCCATGCCTTTACTCGCCAGGGTCATCTTGCCCGCCAGGCTGTCTCTTCACTCTACATGCCTGAATCATCCCCTCTTCCCATGCTCAGCTCTGGTGCTAACCTTTTATCCAGAACCTTCTTTGACTACTCTTGGTTACATTTGATCTCTTTCTCTGAACCCCTAGTCTTTGCTACCTTTTTTTCCTTATTGAGATTTTATTTTCCATATAGATGAAGACTATCTTATTTATCTTCCCCTTCCTCACAGTGTCTAATAATTTTAAGGGCAAAATAGAAGCTCTGTGTGTTTCTGAGATAATAGATTATTTTATTTTAACATTTTGGTAGTGGTCCTGAAGTCACGGGTGCTTTCCAGATTCTGACCAGGCGCCCTGGTATTTCAGTATGTGACATAGCTCTCTGCACAGCAGCTTCCTTTCCAGTGGAGACACAAATGGTCTCCCCAGCAAACCTGTAAGCAGCCTGCTGGCCAAGCCAGACTTATATCTTATCCACATCCAAGATAGTCCTTGTGTGTTATAGGTTCTGGGTGGTTCTTTCTTTGAGTTGTAGCTATTAATATAGCCATAACTCACTGCCCAAACCATATGAAACTTCTCTAGCAGTTTCCTCAGACAGTCTTATTTTCTGGAAGAATCAAAACCAACAGTTTCTTGAGACTCACTAAATAAATCTAAAAACCGTTTCAGGAACTAAGTGGCAAAATGTTTCTGGGTGTGTTCTCTTCCTGTGTAGTACTTTACAAAACATTCATTCACTTAAGATTTGTAAAGTACTTGGAAAGCATTACTAGAATTTGATTTGCCTTTCAGGTTATTACACCAATTACTTGAGTGACCTAAGGGCAAATAAGAATTAAATGACCAATGCATGTGTGTTCGTGCATTTTTTAAAGCAATTACGGCAAATGTGAATTTTGTTAAATTACTGTTTTATGAACAAAGACTGCAGTTGAAATAGCTTCAAGGAGTTTGCCATTTTACAAACATAGATAAAAATAAATGCAACTGGGTAGGGTTGCTCTTTGATAGGGTCGCATGGCAGAAAGGCCTAGAATACTAATACAATTCTGAATTCAGAAGAAACAATTCTGAAGTTACAACGTACTGAAATTCTGAAATAGTTGTATTTTTTCCCTTCCTCCTATGCTCTGGCTAAGATACATACAGTAGTAAAATCAATATTGGTAGAATTTTATATGGGGCGGGGGGACCAGGAAAGTGACAAGTGATGTGCTGCTGGCAGCTCCAGGGACCCACACCCTCTTGAGGGGCAGGCATTTATTGGATGCTGTGTCCAAGCCAATCCCTGGGCTCTGGGACTGGATGGCGGCCCTTACACAGCGTAGGCATCCTTCGCGAGTCTTACTGAACATTTTCGGATTTGCTCTTCCTCATAGTTTCTAGTCATGCACTAGGTAACTGTCAGCACTAACACTGGGTCCTGTAAAAATGTTGGCTTTGTATGCCTCAGTGCTTACAGACCAGGGATGTGCAAATTCTCATAGGAAAGTCTTGGAGGGAAAAATATGCCGGGTGGTATCAGTAATAAGGATGGCTCTCCTGCTTCCTAACCCCAAGGGTCAGCCTAAGGAAGCCTGACCCCCCCTCCCCCCGCTGACTGGCCCTATCTCCTCCACTCACGGGCACTCCTGACCTGGTGAGGGCGGCTTCTAATTGCAGGGACCTTAAATGCTCTGGCTTCTTTCTGTATTGGTTGGGCTTTCAGGAGGACTCAGGCTGCTAAGACTAGGTATTAATTTAAAAAAAAATTATCCTTAGTAAGTATCATTGTTCTTCCCTATGTGACTGAATGTAAGGCAGTGGTCCCCTGCCCTTTCTGGGAATATGCTCCTTCCTCCCCACCCCTGACCCTTCTTTTTATTGGCTGCTGGGGAAGGATAGCTCATCTTCTGTGGGCTCGAAAGTCTGCCCATTGGCACCTCTGCTCACTCTCACACCTCACTTTGTGGGCTTGGAGAAAACAAATTCCCTCCTCCCTGTGGACAGACGGGTCCAGGCTGGATGCTGGGCATTCTCTAAGCCTCGCCTGCAGCAGAAGCCTGCATGTATCTCTCCTGTGTGTCCTCGGTATCACCTTCCTAAACACCCACTGTTGCCAACTCCAGCATTTGACTGGCTTTCAAAGAAAATGAGACTCTGGGTAAAGTGTCTCAGCAAGAGGCACCAGTGGTCCTTTCATGGGAGCGGAGCTCTAGGACAGCTGCCGGTGCCCCTTTATGAGGACCCAGGACTTCTACTGCAAGTGGGGGGTGAGGCAGCCTCTTCTCTGGGCCTTGAACACTTAGTATGGTTCCCTGCTGTGTCAGAGGGTGTGGCTTTTAGTTTTTCAGGTGACACTGGGAGAGCAGGACCTCGCATCTGCAGATGTGTGAGTAAATCCATAATTTTCAAGGCAAAAGAAGGTGGCAAATGCTCCAAGTTCATGGGGGTGTTGGATGAGCTGGTTTCTACCTCGAGCTGGCATGGGCAGTGCCCTACGCCAGTGCCTCTGGAGCTTCAGTGAGCTTTGCGAACAGGCAGGGGGGCCTGTAAGTGCAGATGCTGATGCAGTAGATGGGGGTTAGGTCCTGACATTCTGCATTTCGCATGAGCTCCAGGTGATGCTGCTACTTCCAGTCCCAGGGGACGCTGGTTAGAAAAGTCCTAGAGGCATCCTCCCCCATGCCCCATGCACACACCCAAGAAAGAGAATCCAGCTGGTGATTAACCCTGGCCTTCATCAGCTCTTGCCAACACGATGATGCTGACTACAGTCAGGAAGAGGAGAGCAGCGTGCAGGCTGAGTCACACCAGGATATAACAGGACGTGGGACTGGTTGGGGGCAGAGGCAAGTAGGTGA